TGATTTGCAATAGCAAAACATACAAACAAATAAAAACTCCTATAGTCTATATCAACATTCATGGGCAGTAGATTACATGTATAAACTGCTATATATATTCATACAGTAGAATATTATATCACATGCAAAACTAGTGAATGAATATGATACTTATCAGGGTTGAATCACCAAACCTTATTTTAAAGAAAAGAAACAAATCACCTGATTCAACTTGTAAAAGCTAAGAATAGGCAAAAGTATATACATATACACAAATATTTGGAATAAATATTTGTGTATACAATCATATACAGATTCACATGTGGGTATGCATATATGTATATGCACATATACATATACACATAAACATTATACACACACACACACACATGCATCCATGTGGTAAAATGATAAAAGGAAACAAGGACACCACTAACAAGAAGACAGAAGAGTAATTACTTCTGAGGAGGTGAGAAGAGAACATGGTCAGAAAGGCAGAGAGCATGAGGCTCCCAGGTGATGGAAAAGTTTTCCTTCTTGGTAAGTGAATGGGTCACAGGAGTTCCTTTCGATTATTATTTAAACTGAGCAGAGAAATTTTAAACATTTTTATGAATATTATTTATTTTAATAAATATATGTATCAGAGAAAACTAAGTTGACAAGGGCTGTTCCTGATGCCTCCAAGAGCTCTGGGCTCTTGTGTTCCACTGACTGCAAGGGGCAGTCGCCCCGAGTCCAATCATGGACTCATCCGTGCACACTCGACACAATTTTATCTCCAGACCAGTGCCACCATGCTTGTCTCCTATGTTACTGCCTCGACAAAAAAAAAAAAAAAAAAAAGCGAGCATAGAATTTTACAGTCGCGATTGCCAACAGGTGTAGGAGGCAGGACAGGAGAGTGACACCAGCCTCCGAGTTCCAATGGGAATCAAGCAGCTTTTTGGCACTTTCTTTCAAAGAAGTCCATTAATGCTTTAGAGTTCGTCAGGGAACAGACATTAGTTGGAAGATGACCTTCCCTCAGATTGCTGGCACAGGCAGAGGCTGCCTGTAAAACAAGCAGGCCAAGATGACCGAGCAGAGCACAGGAGCTGGGAGCTGGGTAGCCGCCTGGGCACAGGAGGTGGCTCCAGAAGCAATTTGAATGATGAAGTGATAGGCACTAAGTGCAGAGGAAACTCAGAGGATGGGGCAATCAATCACTGCCGAGCTTATCTCCTGACAAGGAGCGGGGCTCAGCTTCCAGATGTAACATTAAAATGTAATGTTCCCACTGGGACCCCGAGTGGCAGGTTTCCCTGACGCTCCGGTTTCACTCAGTTCACTAATTATGAGAAAATGTGTCATCGGTATTTACTTTTTCTACAGGGATAAATCTTTCCCAGTAAAAGGGAGAAGTTGTTATTTTTTGTTCTGTTTTGTTTTGTCATTAAAAAGAAATTGCTTACACAGCAGTAAATAAACTCTTGTTAGAGGGAAGGAAGATCTTTTTTTTTTTCTTTTCTAGATGATTCTATCAAGCCACTTTAATGCTGACAATCATTTATTTTATTTCCCAGAGACAGGGTGGATAAAAGAGCCAGAGTTGGGTGTTACAACTAGGTTTAAAAATTAATTCTACCACTAAAGCTAGGTGACCTTAAGCAAGTTATTTAAGCTGTCTGCGCCTGTTTTCCTAGCTGTAAAAACTGGAGATGATGCATCTATTTTAGAGTTTTATTTGTCCAAGAGGAAATCACACAGTTGAAGCATTTTGGCACAGTGCTTTCAAATGAGTGCTCAATAAATTTGAGTCTTTATTCTCAAAGATCTTGATATTCTATTATGTAAACACACATAGTTTGTATGTCATTTATGCCTGATATTGCCAATGCTATATGACCGTGCATCCAATCATGAAATGAGTCTTTATTTTGGCTCTACAAGTCAAATTATGTATACAATGTTTTACTTTCCCTCACTCTAAGGTAAAAAGTGTACCCAGTGAAGAGTTAAAGTTGATGATAAAATTTAAGGGAAAGTTCTCCCCCTAACTACTTCCTGCTTCTTTTAAATGTTCAAATGGCATATGCAATGATAAACAAGCATGTCAGTAAAACCATGCTTCCTCTGACTGCCTGGATGCGAACAAATAACACCACCATGGATGATGTGCTTGTAACAAATTAGAAGGAGATTTCTCAGATGATTTCCCATTTGAACTTACAATAATGGACGAGATACACAGACTAGATGGAATTAGCCCCATTTTACAGAATGTTTTCCTTTAAACAAACCTAAGAACAAGAGATGGTGGATGGCAAAGCCACTGTATTCCAGCTCTCTATAAAGGGTATTTGAACAAATGACAAATACCAGGATTATTGAGCTTCTCAAAACTGGATTTTCCCAAGAATGAATTTTCTTTCAGTAATAGTCAAAGGGATCAGTTGTTTCAGGGGAAGGCAGGATCATTGGTGGAAAGTGAACAAAATGGAAAATCAAGGGGCATAGGGTTTTATATTCCAATTTCACAATCCATTTGCCTGCCTCAAATTTATCACCCATAAATTTGAGAAATTTGATTCACCCTCCTTACAAGTGTATTGCAATGTCATTGCTGTGTACATGCTATGTAGGATTAATAGCATGACATTCAAGAGGTTTTATGCTAGTCATACTGAATATAAACTTCTGAAAATGTGCAAACATAGAAAACATATGTTGAGTATGAGACAGAAAATCCTTGTAATAAGAAGATAAAGACTGGTGATACAGCTCAGTGATAGAGGCATTAGTCCATGTGTTCAGTCCCCAGCACCACACACACATTAAAAAAAGATACTGACCTTTTTTCAAGGAGAAAAAAAGAGAGATAAAAAGTGATAAACAATGAGATAAAATTAGATAAATCAGTATTGCACGTTTGAACTATTTTTTAGAAGCTGCAAAAGCAAATTATGGAGGCATGGGCATCTACTACATTTTTTGTAGTCACAAAAATATAACTGACTTCTAATTTGGATAACATTTCTTCAACTAATTACATACAACTGTTGTTAAGATAATCAATTCTGATGTGCTGTTAATACTGAGAGAGTCTTTCTGGTAGCTATCACCTTTCAAGACCTCAAAGGACTCTCACATATGTTCAGTGATATGTAATAACCTTGAAGGAAGTTCTAGCAAATGACAGAACTGTAATTCTAAATTCTCTTCCCCTTCTTTTTTTTCTTCAATCTGGAACAAGGTATAAGTTCTTATAGATAGGAAGGCAAAAGTAACTAAAGGGCATTAGAAGGAAACCTAGTTCAAAATAAAAACTAAATACAAGTTTCTAGTTTATTTCTTGGCCATGGAAGCCCAAGGACCTACAAATATCCAATCATAAACCTAGTCATACTAGCAACAATCAACAAAATAGCTTTTAATGATGGGTTACCATTAGGTGGTTGATTACCTAATTCTGATTTAATGGACCTGAACATAATTTTCTCTATGACTCTTCATAGAACATGATACAAACTTCATTCCAATATTGGGACATGATGTGGCAGCTGGAGAGACTGCCTAAGGCTCCCTCCCATTTCCTTAATTCATTCATTTAATAGATTTTGAGTGTTTTATATTCACTAGAAACTACATCAAAGAACTCACAGTAAGATGGGAACCAGCTAAATAAAGAATCAAATTTGTATGTTAAGCCTTAGCATGGAATAAATATTTGGCACAATGGTGAGTAGATCAAAAAGCTCTCAGAGGAAAAGGTAAGCTCAGCAGAAACTGTCCATATGGCAAAGGGAGAAGTCGTTTCCTGCAGAAAGAACAGCAGGGGATAAAAGCAGAAGATATCAAAAATATGGTGAGTTTCAGAATTTAGATGTGGCTCCATATGGCTGGAGTATAAATCATGCATTGGAGAAGAGAAGAAGATGGTAAATGAAGCAATCTAAAGTAGAAGAAAATGAAGATTCCATCATTTGGGCTTACTAGTCCACATTAAAATACAGTATTGGAGTGTTCATCACGGATATTGGTCTGCTAGAGAAATGTCACCTCCCAGGTAATAGATTTTGACCATGAGCAGTTGGTGTTGTACAAAGTGATCCAGAGGAAGGAGATATCCAGGTATGGATACAAGGTATGAGACAATCTCCAAAGTCTGGGAAAGACACAGGATCCATGAACTAAAATCTCACATGGATATTTGTAAATGACATAGCATAATTGACTCACTATGTAGCCACTTAAGGACTTTTTTTTTTTTTTTTTTTTTTGTACTGGGGATTGAACTCAGGAGCACATGACCACTGAGCCACGTTCCCAGCCCCATTTTGTGTTTTATTTAGAGACAGGGTCTCACTGAGTTGCTTAGTGCCTCACCATTGCTGAGGCTGGCTTTGAACTCTGGATTCTACTGTACCAGCCTCCCCAGCCTCTGGGATTATAGGCCTGCACTACCATGCCTAGCAAGGAAGTTCTTGAGTGACTGAAAAAAACGACTCTAGAGGTTAAAGGAGACACAATTAGATATTTTATCCTTTGAGTGAACCAGGTGTCGCTTAAAATGTAAACTCAACTCAACTGGGTAACAACTCACATTTACTAACTGGCTTCATCTCAGACTTAGAACATTCTGCAAATGGATGGAGTGGAATATGGTCCCAATGTCCAATCTGGAGGGGTTTGGGAAATATCTATTATAACTCCCATTTGAAAGATGGAAATCTGATTCAGAGATTTTGTAACCAGAGTCACAGAAAATTTCTGGCAGATGAGAACAAATCAGGCAGAATACATTGTGTCCTGATATTAGTCAACCAACATGGTTGTAGCAGATTCCAAAATAATACAAAATATCAACTTCAACTAGCATGATAACTTTTGAAATGTGTTTGACATTCATACTAAAAAAAAAAATACAAGGCCAACATTTAGAGATACTTTCTTAAACAATTCTTCACTCTGACAGTGAAACTCCTAAGCCAGAGCTCAAATTTTAATACTGAATTAATATAAATAAGATGGATTCTTACCATGATCTTCAGAAGAGACTGGTGACCTAAAAGGAGAAAATGTGCACAATAAATATTTTGCATATAATAATGATTAACAATCATCACAAGTGACTTCATAGAAAGTATACTCCCCAAATCCAGTTAATTAGAAACTATCGATAGAGTGCAAAGTTTAATTAAAGTACTAGTTGCATAATATATTGCAAATTAATAACCCCTAAATCTTACCTGGATTGGTTGGACAGCAGGGGTTACTAAAATGTCAGTCTATGCATGATGTCACTGGGCTTCAACAAACTTAAGACAGTCTGAGCTTATGACAGATAAAAGCAAAATAGAAATATGGTGTTGGGTGAAGTTCTGTGATATCACCTAGTGCTCAGAGCCAAGCCTCCAGAGAAAATGCTAGGAATGTAAGGGGCATTAGGTTATGTGTATGTGTGTGTCTACTCAGTCAAAAATGAGACAGAAGTAAAATAAATGACATGTGCCTTTACCATTATTATTTTTTCCACTCTTTCTGGAATTTTATGTTTGAGTGAGCTTGAGATAAGACTCTCTGTATGCTGGCTTTATTCCTCTAAGAATATGAGAAATGGTTGAGGCAAGAAGTCAACCACTAGAGTCTAACCAACTTTCATAAACCAATTACTTTTATGTACCATCTGTAGGTTCATCTCAAATTATGATAGTTAAATATCAAATGAAGCATTGTGTCAACCATAAAAGTCTTTCCCCCCTCTGTTGTCTCCTAATTGAAGCATTTTGGGCAACAGAGTCAGTTTTGTAGATTAACTCACCTCTATCTCCAAAGATTACAGTTTTAACTGCCAACATTTTTCTTTTTAGGGAAAATTAGTGACATGTAGCCCTATATTCAGAGTTGTTGGGATTTTGAAGGAAAACCCAAGAAACTATACACTTCCCTCATTCATGAGGAGTTCTCTTCTCTGAGTGAATTCATACTATACTTTATAACAGGAAGTTGACCAAAGATAGATTCAGGCAATTAAATCCTTCTATTACTATTTATTTATATTTAGGACATAATGATACATATTGGGGCAAGAATGATTCAGCATATAGTGACACAGCCACATCAATATTTACAGTTGCACAATTCACAATAGCTGAGCTAAAGAGTCAACACAGGTGCCCATCCACAGATGACTGGATAAAGAAATTGTGGTAACTAGGTATGGTAGCAATCCCAGTGGTTTGGGAGGCTGAGGCAGGAGGATCATAAAGCTAGCCACAGCAACTTATGAGGCCCTAGGTAACTTAGTGAGACCCTGTCTTCAAAATAAAAAATTTAAAAAGGGCTGGCAATGTGGCTTAGTTATTAAGTAACCCTGGGTTCAATAAATAAATAAATAAAAGAAAGAAAGAAATTATGCTATATACACACAATGTAATATTACTCAGCCATGAAGAAGAATGACTTTATGTTATTTTTTGGTAAATGGATGGATCTGGAGATTATTATGCTAAGTGAACTAAGCCAATTCCAAAACACAAAGGGCAAATATTTTCTTTGAAATGTGGAAGTTGACAGGATAAATTGGGGAAGGGATAGATATTCAGTGGATTAGATAAAGGGTAATGAAGGGAAGGGATGGGGAATAAGAATAGGAAAGACATTGGAAAAAATCTGACATAACTTTCCTGTCTACATATAAGAATATACCACAGTGAATCCCACCATCATGTACATCCACAAGACTGGGGCTCTAATTAGAATAAGATATACTTCATGCTTGTACAATCATATCAAAATGGACTCTACTGCCAGGTATAACTAAAAAGAACCAATTAAAAAAACAATTTTAAAAAAGAATGATTCGGCAGAATGATTTGGACTGTTGATTCTGCTCTACTAATTAATAAATTACTTTCTATTATGGGAGTAAACAGTTAAGTATAAAGATATGGTAGTAGTAGAAAGAAAAACTTTGAACCTCCACTAGTAACAAAATGTCAAAAATTTCAACCTGATGCGTCTCTCCAAGCAGACTTTTCCATGTGAAAACTACAGAGGATCCCAAGGTTTGGTGGAAAGGAAATTGGCGTTTGGGACATGGATGTGGGAGTAGTGAGCAGGAGCTTGTCACAATCTCTAAGCGTGGCTGTCTGAGAAACAGCACACTACACTTTCCCTCTCTGCAGAGGTGGCTTACCGGCCCCCACTGGGATTTCCCCGTTTGGTAGTGTCACACACTGGTCTTCTCACTAGGTTGCAATCCTCATGCAAACTGGAACTGTATCTTATTTAGAATAAGTATGTCCTGGACTTCAGAAATGTTGAATTGATTTAATTTTGTTACTATCATGCTTATATTCAGACTCAGGAACATTCTGGATCTGGTCAAAAAATCATGATGTTACTTTCAAATGACCTTCAAGACAACTTGGCCTGATTTTTGAGTTCAGCTGCGAGAAAACAGACCTTGGCAAAGAGCCTGAAGCTCCAGGTTGCTTATAATGTGGGTACTTTTAGAGTGAAAGGATGCAAAACACCCAACAACAGAGACACCCCTAAACTGTTTTAATGCTAAGAAAAACAGAGGGGTGGGAGGTATAGAATGGAAGGAGACATAGGTTTGGCAAGCAAATCCAGAGAAACATATTTGAAACAAAATGAGCCAATTGCTTAAACTGCATTAAGAAATAAAAAGAAGTTTTTAAGTGCATAAAAAGGAGTTAGTAAGAGGGAAATATGTTTACTTCCAGTAAAGATTAGAAATAAGCAAAAATATGTCTTGGATATTTCCAATTAATTTTTCACAAAGCCACAGAAACAAAGAAAAATCCATGGACAACTGAGTGTCTCGGGTACAGAGCTCATGAAGCAGGGCCTTTGCTGACCTTCTGTAAAAGCAAAGCACTAATATTATACTTGAAAAATTCCAGATGGCTCCATTAAAGTCCCAAGGGGATGCATTCCACAGTATATGCAGGCAGTGGGGAAGAACTATCGATTTCAGAGTGTTTTGCAAGGATTAGTCATGTTGAGTTTCTGTGCTGAATGTCTCCCACACGCCTGGATTTGTGGAATTTTAAGACATATGGAGTACCTCAATCCTCACTCAGTATTTCACCTTTCACTGCAACAAGTCACTAAATTATACCACTGAGACATGCACATCATCCATTATTGCTAGAAATGGGCATAAAAAGTTTTACAGAACTTAACTCAAGAGAAAAGAAATATTCTGAAATCAGCAGTAGAAGTGGTTATTTTTAAAACTGCGGTTGAACCTCAGGAACATATCATCTTCCTCAAGCTGACAACTGAGACATGCAGGAAAGCCCAGTGCTTATTCTTCCCACCGTACCTGAAAGACATGTTTTGCTCTGTCCCAGACGTGGTTCACTTTTTCTCCATGTGATACATAACTTAGACACAGCATCTGACCTCACAACGTAAACCCTTACTAACATTCCCAGCGACAACATGACTTACCATTATCTTCACTACTTTCTTGTTCACGAGTCTGCTATTAAAATCTCATAATGTTTATGCTTTTGATGTTTTATTTATTAACTTTGGAATTTTTGTACATTTTTATTTCATTCAAATTCAGCAAAGCAAAACAGAAAACAAAACAAAAATTTTAGCCTCACATTTAAAATTCTTTCTATTTTATTAAGCCTAAATAATTATTATTCATCTTTGAATCTTTCAATTCATGTTGATTCAATTTATTACTGGAGAACTCTTTATGTACATTTTTATGCTAAGTGACGGAGATATGAAGAACAATTTCAAAGAACTCGTAATCTAGTGAAGAAGAAAAATACATAAGCACATGATTATGATATAGTGAAAAACGTAATTATCAAACTGTATATGAAATAAAGAGGTAGCACAGAGCAGAGAGAAAGAGCAATTCTGTTCTAAAAGAGCGAAAGAAGAATTTAAAAAGCAAGAACCATCTAAACTGGGCTTTGGGGAATAAATAAGAGCTTGTTAGATAAGAAAGGATTCCAGACAGAAGCAAAAGACATATAAGAAGGAGAACAGATATGAAATTTCATAGTGTGTTATCAGATGTACAAGTAACTCAGTATTGCTAAAATGTAAAGGATTTGATAACAGCTAGGACTAGGTAAGTAAGAGGCAGGGGCCATTTCATATCAGGCTCCTGGGGCCATTTTGAGGTGCCCGCCATTTACCTTCTAAGCCAAACAGTGTAAGCAACACTTTCTGGTTTGTATTTCTGAATGAGCAGGCTGTGGAGAGTAGTCCATAAAAGAGCAAGAAGACAAATTAAAAGGCAGAAGACAAATTAAAGACCATCATAGCAAAACATCCAAGATAATGAGGCACAATAAAAATCTGTTCTTCAATTCCCTTTGAAACATACAAAAAAAAAAAAAAAATAGGGAGGAAAAAGACCAGTAAAAGAAACACCACCTTTGACTAAACTAGATGTTTATAAACGTAGCCCATCATATGTTAAGAAGAGCTATCAAGTATAGAGAAAATGGCACCAAGTTTCAGGGGAACAAAGAGTTTCAATCTCAGTTGAAGAGACACATGCTAATCAGGAATCACAAAACCTATGGTAGAAAGCCCTCCAGCGTGAGCCAGGATGTCCTGTTGGTCAGAAGCTGGACCACACCCTTAAAGAGACTGCAGATGACTGACCTGAAGTCAAAATTTCAGCAACCTGCTAATCCTAATCATTCACTGCAAGCCAGAAGTTCCAGAAAGAACTCACCCAATGCAAATTTTATGAATAATCCAAAAAGAACTATTGTGATATCTTGACAAAAATACCACAAGAAGAAAACCAAGTGTAGGCAGAACACACTCAAAAGATGTCAGTATGGAGCAGGTAAAAAGGTAAGAACTGCCAATAAATGTCCATGAAACCTAGAAATGGAAAAATGGGGATATAGGGTGAGGTGGTAAACACCTCTAATCCCAGAGACTTGGGAAGCTGAAGCAGAAGGATCACAAGTTCAAGGCCAGTCTGGGCAACTCAGTGAGACCCTGCATCAAAATAACAAAACAGAACAACAACAGCAAAATAAAACT